AAAAAAAAAAAAAAAAAAAAAAAAAAAAAAAAAACATGTTAGACAAAGAAAGAAAGAAAAAACGAAAGAGAAAGAAAGAAAGAGACAGACAGACAGATAGACAATTAGACAGACAGACAGACAAACAAACAGACAAACAGACAGAGAGACAAACAGACAAACAGACTGACTGACTAACTGACTGACTGACTGACTGACTGACTGACTGACTGACTGACCAGACAAGGCGACAGATAGACAAACTGACAAACAGACAGACGGACAGACAGACAGACATACAAACCAGAGAAGACCGACAGACAGATGAACAGACAGACAGACAGACACAACAGACGGAGCAGACAGACCACAAAACTGATTTGTGTTGTCCATGCATATCTTTGACCTATGCGGATTTCTTTCTGCGGTAGAGATTCGTCAATGCAACATAGATGATGTTCAACGATTCAACATTATTACTGTTCTTTCTTGTTTGAATAAGAGGGGAGGAAGCAGGATTCGAATCACCTTTTTCTCTCCCTCTCCCCTCATGTTTAAAATTTCTTTTTGCAATTGGATGTCATTGAACTTTCTGCCGATTGAACACTTCGAAATTGGTCAGGACCGCAACACAGAACAGACAGACAGACGGAGGGTGGGAAAGAGAGAAGTGCGTGCACACGTGGAAGAGGGAGAAGAGGGGTCGATGCTAACAAACCAAGCATATAAATTACATGTCACTGGATGAAAGAATGTAGAGTCGGAGAAAGGAAACATCAAACAAACTTAGTGTACATTCACATACTGATACTGTGATGGTTTGCGCACATGTCCACAACAACAGAACAGACAGACAATGAGACCTCCACCAAGCCCGTGGTAAGAAAAGCAACGACAACAACCCCTAATTCAACGACTGGCCTACTTGTATCAAACTTCCGTAGACGTACAACGCACCACGCACCTACAGACCTACACAACCGTCCAAACGGCAAACATCTACAAGCACATTTTGGTAAAGATCCAAAGTACATGCATTTACATGGAAACCTACAGTAAGTGGACCGAAGGCTAGGACACACATTAGATAGACCTCCGGGTGCCTACGAGTCTTCAGAAGGGCGGAAACGAAAAAAACTACAAGGCTGAAAGGCCTGGGACTACGAAAGTAGAGACAAATGCCAACAGGTTCCGCCGTTGGAGCCCACCGACAGGCCGATCATTCGGAAAGAAAAAAAGAAAGAAAGAAACTTGAAGAAAGGAAGAAGAAGAAAATGAAAATGAAAAAAAAAAAACAAAAACAAAGTAAGAAAGAAAGAAAGGTGAACAAGAAAAAACAAAAATATATGGGGTTCACTACTGCGGGCCAAAATCAGCGACAGAGTCGTCCTTCAATACCTTCATGTCCCCCACTTGTGAACCGGATCTCTCTCTCTCTCTCTCTCTCTCTCTCTCTCTCTCTCTCTCTCTCTCCATCCACCTATTCAACCCACCTAACAACACAAAGGCTTCCGCGAAGTCCACGATTCGACAGGACAACCGTTATGCAGCACACACAGTAGAATTCTCAAGCTGCCTTTTTTTTTTGCGGACCCCCCCTTACGTGGCACTGCTTTTCTCTTCTTCGCCCCTGCTCTGCTGCCATCCCTTTCCGCCTGTCAAGCCTCCATCCGTTGCTGTCTCGTCTCAGCTCTCGCCTTCTCGTCCAACATACCTTGATATTTCTCAACCCAGCGAGGCTTCGACAACCTATCCACCAATCTCATGTCCCTGACCTGGATCGTCACCCTCTTCGAATGGATGTCCACCTCGTTGGTGTTCTCGAAATTGGCGACCAGGTACGCCTCGACAGCCTCCATCAAAGCACGCACCGCCGTCATCTGAAACCTCACGCCCATACCCGGAGCAATGTCCTCCTCCACAACCTCGCGCGCGAGCCGCAAGAACGGCCTGAAAACCAAGCAAAGGTCGGTGGATCGTTGCAACTTTCTGATTTTCGACAAAGTTGCCATCCCGGGGCGTCGACGGTGTCTGGGGACCTGAGTTCGTGCACCTGTGGTGTCTCCGGTCGCTGGCACTGCCTTGGGGTTCACCTTCTTTCTGCCTGCGGGCGTCTGCCCACGTGGTGGTTCCGACGTGCACTTCTTCTTCTTCCCCCGGGCTCTGCGACATCGCGACATCGCTCGGGCCGCCCATGTTACCCTGTGCTGCAGAGCACCCCCTGACGCGACCAGGACCACATGGGCCCTCCACCTCAACAGACAAACGGGAAATTTCTGAGTGCTTCTCTGTCCTCTTGCCTGGCTGCGCTGAACCTGCCAAGAGTCCATCTGAGTAGGTCAGATGGAAAGGCACACCAAGCGGGTCTCTGAATCTCATGGTGACGTCTCCACCATGCTCATATGTCATGGGACATACGACCGGGACCCAACCAAGAACGGTCGTGCAACCGTACCTGCGGTGAATGTGAGCCATGTATCTGTTCTGACCGTCGCCGTGCTCTTGGCCCGTACAACTCCCCTCAACCATGGACCACATCCCCTGGTCAGCCATGGAGTCATAACCCTTATCTTCTCCCAGCAGCGTTTTGCGTGTTCAACCACCAGCACGTGGTCCTTTACATTCACATTGAAAATTGAGACACGTGCTAGAACCACGAGGAACCGCCAATGCTCCACAATGCTTGCATGCATCCATCCCAATGGGAGCCAATGCCCTGATTGCAGTCTTGTTGCCATCGTCACCTTGCCATCAACCACTGCAGGATGCAAACATCTTGGGACCCAATTGACACGATAGCCATACTTTTCAGGGGCCATATGCTGCTGCAACTGTCCTTCAAGGATGACACGGGCCCCAATGTCCATGGCAGACAGAACGTTACTCCTCATTGTGATATGGTCCCATATCTGCGAGCATAGTCCATCATACGTGGCTTCCTGCCCTCTTGCATGCGTGTATGTGCTGCCATCCTCACCAGTGAAAACTTTCCCTTCAACCACCTCCAACTCCACAGGGTTCCGAAGCGGCGGGAAAAAGCAGCCAGCAGAGATGAACATTTTTTTTTTGGAATTGACACTTCACCCAACCCGCCCATAATTGTTTAAGCACCGCCCGCCCTAAAAAAAGATAAAAACAAAAAATCTCAAGGCGACCCAACCCACCCGAGTGTTTTTTTGAAAATTTCCGCCCACACCCAACCCGCCCGTCACCCGTAAAAAACCTTCACCCTGACCCACCCACACCCGCAAGAACAAAACTACCCGCCCGCACCTGGTACCTAATTATTTTCCACCCGCACCCGCCCATTCCCCATTGTCTCAATCCCTTTGAACATTTGCACGCACCATAGCAACGTGACATCCTTGAACGACGATGCAAAACTTTGAAGCATCTCTGCCTGCAGAAATTCGAATCGCTCCACAAGTTTGAAATTGGGTAGTGAACCTAAGACTTGCCACTTGTTGTGGTTAGCTCCGATCCCCGCTGTTTAATGGGAGCGAACATCCCGTTGTCTGGGCTGTGGTCCAGCTGCCACTAGTAGAGCGTGACATATTTTTTCAATCAGGACCCGATGGGGTGGCAAGCAAACCGTGACTGCAAATCCATTGGAACTCGTGCAATTTTGCCAAAACGCCCCTTGTCTGAATTTACCTGGGGCCGGTCAGTTCGAAGACGATATCTCAAGGCCATGACCCGCTTTCACTACCTACCTACCACTACACCTAAAGCCTATACAGGGGTCCCCTGCAAGCATACGTAGTTGCCACTAGCGCGGCTCTTTTTATCAAGGACGATAACTTGTTTTCCCAGGGGCCCCAGGGTAGAGACTTTCCGTTTCCTGGGCCTCCAACCTTTGAAGTCCACAGATGGACCGACGTTTGAAGTCCACAGATGGACCACAGCTGGGAAATATGCATAAGGGGGGGTGGGGGGTGGGGGGTCAGG